TATCATGGTACAATACAAACAGCCACAGTGCCAGTTCTAGATTTAGATGCTAAGTTGCTTTAAAAATTGTTCATTATAGATGCTTTAGTATCACCATACCTTAGCTACTGCTGAAATTAGTTTAAATATGACAATATTCCTTAGCCATTTAATTTGCTAAATGCCAGCTGTTAATGTTATTACATGGGTTTATGAAATTATTGGTTAAGGTCATCAGAAACTTGAAGGAACCACTGATGTTCTCACGGTCTTTCTTAAATCTTGATACGGAAATATGAATGGGCAGGATCAGTACTTACATAGCAGAAATGCAAGCAATATGTTGATAAAATTATACCCGTGACAAAACTGAAGACAGTCTTTCAGTGAAGGTCACTGCTAAACTTTTGGAGAGCCAATGCATCAGGTCTGTTAGAGGTGCCGTCTTTGGTTCTGAAACAGAGATGTGTGTTTGTTGGGTAGAAGATATCCTCATGTAATTAAAGAATTACATTATGCATATGGTAATTAAATAATTATATTTTGCCAAGATGCTTGAAGACTACTACAATTACAGTTGGATATGATGATCTTCATTTCCTTCCTTTTACAACTTAGGAATGCTGATGTAAATTAAGTGATTGTCCTGTACTACTCTAGAGATAATTGTGGTTTCATGGTGGGCAGAACGATTCCTGTGCCGTTATTAGCTGTTATCAAATGATGCTATAAAATATGCCTGGTGATAATCAAGAAAATCCTCTTCTGAATTCCTTACTGTCTGATCAGTTTGTTTATAATGTTGTTCTTTGAGTACCAGTTGTATGAGTTGCCTTACGAAAACTGGCAGAGACAAATGTGTATTGAGAAAAACTAACAAAGTAAGCGTTGGTTATAAATAGATAACAAAAGAAGGAAGGGAGAGGAAGGAATACACTGGTATGCTACAGCAGTTGGGATCAGTAAAAGTAAATGCATAACTTCTGATGGGATAGTGTCTTGTCTTTACTTGTTACTTCTAACACACTGCTTGTCTGCAGTTCCATACTAGTAATAAGGGATAGACATTTTGTTGTCTTGTTTATTGATGGGTTGTACAAGCTCTGAAGAAAGCAAGTATTTAATTTATTATCAGTTAACACATTTAATTACTAACTTGGGTATTAGGAAATGAAGACAACATGGGGCACCTCTTACTCTCCAAAAAGTCTTCTCTCATTTCCTTGTTTCCTCTGCTGTTATTTTTGCTGCTTCCTTTTACCCTTGTTCCCTCTTTGTCATAATTTTCAGGCCCTTAAATATTTTTTCACAGAAGTGCCACCAGTTTCACTTGTGGGCTCATCTTCAGCCAGCAGTGAGCTTGTTGGGGAAGTGGCTATGTCTGGCACAGGGCAGCACCTGACCTCCCACAGAGGCCACTCCTGCAGTCCCTCTGCTACCCAAACCTTGTTATTTGTACCCAATACACTAGAAACCTGTGTGTGTGTTTCATTACAAGGGCAGTGTTAATGCAAGCTCATTCAAACTTCAATTACTGCTTAAAATATCTTTATTTACTAGGAGAGAATTGGTTTCATGTCATGTACAATGTGGATTTCAGCAGTGTCTTCTGATGTGGTGTGTCTGACTTCGTATGGTGAGGAACAGAAAGAGAAGAGTGGATTTCTCTCTTGGAGGCTGGTCAGTGAGATCAGATGAAGCAGTAGTTTTTATATTAAGATTAACTGCTTAACTGATAAACGTGGTCCAGAAGGTATGAGCTAAAGACACACAAATGCTTTTGGGAAGTTGTGAGGTTTTTTTGACTCAAGTAAGCAGTATGTAACCAACCCCAGGCTGATGCCATGAACAGCCAGGCTTCTGGAAGGAGACTTCCTCAGCTCAGGTGTACATCCAACTGACATCTGTGTGATTATCTCTGGTACCAATTAATTTAATGGCAAAATGTAAATCTGCCAAGAGTTCATACCAGGTTCGTGTCTGTGTACAGTGCTGCTCTTCATATGGTGTGAAAAGTTAATGTAGAGGAGACCCCATGTTAACATTTGCAGCAGTGTGCTGTGGATGGTAATTTTTCTTCCCACAGGAAAGATGGAACTGATCTTTCCTTCTTAGTAATAACTGAGAAGATAAATGTGCCTACCTTTGTATTGCTTCAGGCAGTATTAGTTAGTGGTTCACCTTTGAGCCTTAGCTTTCCATGATTATTCTGCAGTTGTAGAAGTAAGTGGTAAGGCAGCTGTGAGACTTCAGGCCAAGATCTGTTCACAGAGACTAAGGCATCAAATCTGCTTGTTGACTAGTCAAAAGGCAGCTGACATTCTTATGAAAATTGTTTTTATTTCTTGGGAGAAACTGGCTGCATAAAGTCACTTCCCCCAGGGGTTTTCTGCCAAATAAAGGGAAGAAAGACTGTCATCATAGATGTGTGCTTAATTCCATTGATTGGAATTGTAATTGAAAGTTCTTGCTAATGCTTTCTTTCCTGTAGAATAATGTATTGAAATAACATGTTTGCTTAGTATACAAAAAATGGCTGTGTTTGGCAAGAGGTCTATTACAGCTTGTAAATTAAATTCACAGATATCCATTGCTGGAAAATCTTAGTCTTGCAGATACAACCTGGATTACTGAGCACTTTTTCAATTGGAAAGCAGCACAAGATTCATGAATCACTTTAGGAAATGTTCTCACCCACAAAATTGTTAGATAAAATTCAATAGATGGCCTGTGTGAATGTGATTCTGTGAAGGCGATTGTTTCTGGAATGTCTCTTTATCCATGGAAAATTATTCTTGGAACTGCCTTTAGTTGCAAATGCATATGCGTACACTATTCTTACCGTGAGTCCTATTTTTATTCAGATGTGTTTCTTCATTGGTGTGCTGTTTGCATGTGAGTGGATCCTGAAGTCATCTGCCATAAGTGTAATAATAAACATAAAACTTAAAATCTTCGGGGAAAGAGTGCTTGATTTGGAGAAATGCAGATTAATATAAGACACAACAGCTTGAAGAAAATACTTGAGTGGTTGTATTGATTAGCATGAACGTACATGTTCTTGAAAAGTGCCAAGCAACATTGATTCCTACTGGCCAGGATCAGAAACGTATCTGATCTAAATATCTCTTATGATGCAAAGATAGTTTGTGAGATTCTTTGTGTAAATTCAAGTTGTTTTTGTGGAGATCACATAGTTGTCAAACAACAGAGACACTTGTGACCTTCCCCGTTGCTGTGATTTTTGACCTGATATTTAAAAACTATTTTGCCTTTCTCAAGTTAGGACCTACTAAAATGATTGAATTTATCAAATATTCTTAAGTTCCATTGCGGAGTTGTATGTGAACTGACAAGCTCCACTGTCACGTTTATCTATGTGGTATCAAGGCCTGACAGATTATTTTCCTTGTTTGATTGAGGGCTTAACGTATCTTTGAAGAACTGGAGCTGATTCCAGGATTCAGGCTGGGAGGCAGTACTTTGACAAGTAAAGATACATGACATATTTACAGAAATTGGAATGTAATAGAGGGAAGCAAGTGTTATTGGTTTCCCGTCAGTATTGCCAGGGGAAAAAGGAAAACATCCTGAATGAATCAAATGACTTAATCTTCTCAATTTGTGTTTTTGCATTTTGGGATCTTTTTAGTAAAAGATGAAAGAATGTGCTTCTTTGCATTCTTTGGGAGTCAGGATTCTTGTGGTATATGCTACTAGTACCTAAACTGTGGTCTTTAGATGTTTCCATGCAGCTAGCTTAAGCCAGCTGTCAGGTCTGTAGGTGACGGTGTGGGTGCTGAGGAGGACTTCAGACACAGTTGAAGCTTCTGCCTTGTGGACATGTTTGAAGACTTTCCAAAGATTCACTTTTACTTCCGTAAGTCTCTGTGTGACCAAGCAGTTATGGTTTGCGAGTACAGCTCTTCAGAGATGAAAGGTTTTATTTAGTTGGTTACTTGTTATTTGTTTGTTGGCTATGGAGACTGGTCATAAATAATTAGAACTTGGAGAAAGTGAAGGAATGTTTTCTTTGTGAGGCTCTAGTTTATGATGACAAATCGGGGTCAAGTAAGGTATTTGATCTTTCTTTTTTAGTGTACTGTATATCTTAAATTGTTTACAGAGACTAGGGGTTCTCTGGGTTAGATTGTGTGGTCAACTGTGTAAAGACTGAAGCGCTAGTTGGAGGGGTGAGATGATGCTGTTACAGAGTACCTTACAAGTCACCTTGAACAGACTTCTCTAGATTGACAGAATATTGAGAATGACTGCTGTGATAAGTTCTAGGTATATCATTTCCCCTTTTCTGTATTTGTTATAGCAGCCATAGATGTGGCTTTGTGGAACAAAGGCATTGTATAATGACAGAAATATTACAAAGTGTCCCAGTGGAATCATTGTGCACACCTAAATATGGACTGAAAATTCAAATAGGGTGGATTGGTAAATTGGACCATAAAAATATTGTGGACTGAAACTGGTTTGCTATTTAAGGATGGATGCCAAGTGCAGTGAATTGTTGGATCTCTAGTTTCAAAGAACTTACACAGACTTTGGCAGCCATTTTGTGTGTTCTGTACAGACTCTCTCTTCTCTTCTTTTGTCTTTGTTTTTCCCTTTCAAAACTTTAATCTTTTTCTAGCAAGATAATTCAGGCTGAAATTAAATAGTTCATCTTTGTATAGAAAAACAAAATAATGCTCTTGTTTGATAAAAATCCTTTTGAAATTCAGTTAATTTAGATTTATCAGTCCCATCCTTTAGTCTGACTGTGATGAAAAATCATTGTTTTTAAATGTATTTTGAATATCAGATTTTGAGCCTTAGGTGCTAATAGTTACTCTTCCCCAAGGGGTGTGTGAGGGCCTGTTATGTGAAGACTTACAGGCTGCTGTAAACTGGCCGCGTGTTCTGTTGTGTGGTGTTCTCTCTGAAGTTGCTCTTTTTAAAGTAAGGTACCCTAGAGCCTGTTGGAATGGAAGTATAAAATTGTTTATTTTTGTCTTTGTCTTTTGTAGAAGCTCCGCCAAAACTGGAAGAAAATCCCGCTGAAGCATTCACTGACTCATCTCTCTTTGCTCACTGGGGCCAGGATCTGAGTCCTGAAAACAGACGTATCGCACTTAAACAGTTCCAGTATTACGGCTACAATGCTTACCTGAGCGATCGCTTGCCACTGGACAGGCCCTTGCCCGACCTTAGGCCTAACGGGTGAGTGCTGTAGTTCCGTCTAGCATTGTATGTCCTGAATTGCAGTCTGTTAGCTCTTTTTCACCTGGAAGTGTTCTGTTGTGTGATCATGTAGAAGATAGGTTGTATACAGTGGACAGAATGAGTCATTTCTATCAAATATTTGAAGGTTGGAAGTTTCAAATGTCTCCTGAAACACTGGAGTGCCCAAATTAAGTCCTGTTAATATCCCACTAAGTATCCATTAAAAGTTTTCCAAGATCCTTTGGAACCTTAATCTCACCTACAGTTTGCAATAGATAGCAAGTGTTTTACTGCTAAAATAATAATCTTTTTATGTTAAGTTTCAGTTTTATCACAAAATCTGACTAAGGAAGAAATAAGAACTGCTCTTTTTGGAAGGCCAGAACTGTCTGGTAAATAGCAGTGAGCAGGTGAAACTGCTGAGCTGTAGTGATGAAATACAGCATTTAGTCAAGCAGTGTGTATCAGCCGAAAGACCATGGAGCCTCTTTCCCTGGGTTGTTCTCTGCTAGGAAGCATGTGTGTCAGGCAGGGTAAATACATCCACTGTTATTCCACAGTGCCTTGGTGAGATGGATGGGACCACGGTAGTGAACAGCCTTCCCTTTAGTGCATTTGAGGCCTGTTCTGGTAGGACCATTCACAGAGACAGTTAATGCTCAACATTTTTTCAGCCTAGTGATACATCTGATCCTTTGAACAAACAGCAGCTCTAGGGATAGAGAAATAGATGGGTGGAACACTGTGTTTTTGCAGCTCATTAAAAAAAGTACATCATTAAAATAAACATGATGAGTACTTACTGAATTGAACACGTGATCTTATTCACTTATTTTAACCAACTGCTTTGATAACTAAAGCAGTAAGCAGTGCATTTTGCCATACATTAAGTTTTCTGATATTAATGAAAATATATGAACACCATCCCAGGCACCACTCTAGCAATTTTATATATATCTATGCTATATATTATTATAGATCACATTTTAGAAATATTTATGTTGTAGTTATGCTGAAATAACGACTTTAAGGAAATCAAAGTCCGTGCAATTATTAACTCTGTCTATAGGGACAATCTTTTTTTTTTTAAATTGTAAACTAATTTAGAGGAAAGATAAATCTTCTGTCACTAACAAGACATAAGTGACAGAAGTGTTTCTGTTCTTACATCTTTTGAAATTACTTTCCTGAATAATTTCAATCTAAATTTTTTATAACTATGGGTTTTAAAAATTAAAAAGACAGAGAAAATTAATGTTAAATACAGCTGAATAGAAATAAATTAAGGTTGGGATTTTAAAAGAAACTCCAGTTAGAAATGAATCATCGTCCTAATTTCTGTGAAATTTTTGATCCTTAATTAACTATCTGCCAGAAACATGTTAGACATTACAATATGTTTATAGACATATGCATACAAAATAATGGTCTAGTAATGGTAGCTCGGGAAGACTTTTTTCCTTCTCATTTTTTACATTTTTTTATCCCCCCATCCTTTATTATTATTCAGGAGCAATCAGATAATCTGACACTGAAATGTTGTCAATTCTGATACTGAGGGAATTTAAGTGTATTGTCAGGTATTATGTAAACTGTTTGTTGTATCTACGGCACCCTGTGGAGTACAGAGCTACAGGGTATTCTGAATGTTGCTAAAAAAAGAATTCCCACTCCTGATATGCAAATTCTCATTAGTGTGAGAGAACATGCATGGGTATTGTGTGAAAACAACCTACCCCGCAAGAGTATGTTTTCCACTATAATAATCAATTTTTAACATTTGTAGCACCTGCTTTTAAAGCCAATTGCATTAGTCACTTCCAGACTGTATATAGATGTATTTAAATTATCCATGGGCAGATACTAGACTGAAGCAGCATAGCATGAAGGCCAAGGACAGCTTGGTCTGAAGAAAGCTCACAGCAAGTGACATGGAGACAGAGTTAATCAAATTTCCTGGACCTTAGTCAGTTGTGTTATTCCTGTTCTGACTAGAAATGCACAAAAGTGCAGTTATGACAGAGGTACCACAGTAACTCTGGATGGAGTTAGCCTAGGTCTAACTGAGCTCATTAGCCTGGATTTAGCAGTGGTTCTGCAAGGGTCAGCATGACATTGGAATCTCAGCGAAGGCTTGTGGGCAAGTAGCTAAAGGAGTGGAGTTCACATAGGTATGTCTGGGCTCAGTTGTGGTCTATAATCTGTATTCATAAGCTATCACATGAAGTATAGGAAGTTGGAGAGACAACAGAAATATGTATAACTGAAGTCTAATGTAGTTCATATATGGTTGGCCCCAGCTGAGACTGGGAGAACTAAGTAATTTGCCAAGAATGTGTGATGTTAGTAGCCCCTTTTATATCATACTGGTATGATTCAGCCTTGACCTTTTTTCTGCCTGCAGTGCTCTGAGAATTTGCATCAAAATAACTTAGCAGAGGTGCTCAACATTGCTTTGCAAGATTCTGCAGTGAGAAAGGCTGCTCCACATATGTAATAAGCCTGTATCATAGCATAGAGGATTTTCTAGGGTTGATATTGTCACCATGCACTGCCTTGAAAACACCAGAGGATAATTAGAGATTGCTGAGCCACAACACATGTGGAGGAGAGGGCAAATACTTGACCTTGCCCAGTCTTCCAATGTGGGTGGTATGCACAGGTAGGAGACCACATTTAGTAGTTAGGTCAGTGGACTCTGTCCAAGCCCCTGGACTCTGGCTTTTCTGGGAAAAAATGACCATCAGTCAGGTGGAAACATCCACCAGATTGCAGTCAGGTCAGGCTGTGTCAGTTGTCACCTTGAAGTGTGACCTTCTCATGTTTTAGGTACTGCAGAGTGGTTTCTAACCCTCTGTACAGCCATGCGCCTCATGTCCTGTGACAAAACATTCAGAATTTGGTTGCTTTTCACTGTGAATATTTGTGCTAGCACAGTGAAGTCCCCAGCATAGTCCAAAAAAATCTGTTATATACAGATTGTAGTAAATAACTCCCATGGTTATCACAGCATCCTGAAGTAATTGTCACATCCTGAAGTAGACTTCATTTTTGCAGTGCTTAGTAGATAATACAAGCAGTATTGTGAAGTTTTGCTTATACTATCTCTCCCAAGGCCTCCATTTATTTTCTGCTGTTGAAATTTGGTGCTCTGCTGTTTACCACCCTTATGTGCATCTGTTAGCCCATAACGTATTTACATCGCAAACTAACAATTAACTACTGGCTCTAATGAGCTTGGATGCAGTGAGGAAGGCAATGTTGCCATTACTGCATGCAGGAACAGGATTATACTTCTGTGTTAGTTACAGTTCTATTGTGCTCATTTCTTTAAGTAGGGCAGGCAGGACCCACAAAGCTTGTCGTGAGTGAAATGTTGAACAAGTTCACATAGAAATACCTTATTAAATGTTAGGTTGTTTGGGGATCCTAAAGCTGCGTACCAAAACTCCTTTCAAGAAGATGCACTTCCGATTCAACTTTGTTGGCTTGTAAATTTTTGTTGCCCGGTGCAGTGTGCCGAAGCACACGTGGGAAAGAGAGATAACATTATTCTTTGCTTATATGATGAAAGAGTAAGGGGTAGTGGAAAAAGAGGTGTGCAGCAGGACCCCAGCAGAGGAACTAATCTGCAGAGTTTTGCTCCTGCATAGCGCATATGGTATGAAGGAGCTGACTGGTAGGCATAAAGCAACTTTTTTAGTCAGTGTAACTGCAGTCAGCCAAACTTGTTTTGCATCGGTAAAACCAGTATTTGTATGAAGAAGCAAAGACAGGAAGGGAGGAGGGAGAAGAGAACTGTTTAGAACTCAGATGTTTTTTCTTCTTTGGAGATTGCTAAATGGTATGGTATAGCACCTGGCTTGCAGCAGGTTTGCCCTTTTCCTAGCTGAGTCAGTGCTGCTTGGCATCTAGACAGATGCAGAGGAAATGTCCTGTTTCCTGTGCAGAGAAAGGCTTTGGCCATTTTGTAAGTATTTCGTGTTTCAAACAGTTCACCAGTCCCAAATTGTATTACTTTGAGGCTCAATTCAGCAAGGAACAACGGTAGAAGCCTTGAAGAGCAGCAGAATTAAGTTTGTGATAAATTGGGCACAAACAGAGCAGGTAGGATATCCCCTAAAGGCAAATATAACTACAAAGGGGAAAAAATTGCACATTGACTGGTTGAGGAGAGTGATGTTTTAGGAGATAAACTGTGTATGTATGTACATCTGTGTTAAGGTGGTATATGCAGTCCTCCTGGAGGTAGTGTGCAACACATCATACTTCTATAAAGCTGTAGATTTTCCTTTATTAAAACTGATTTAAGAAAAACGTAATCTCAAATTGTGAGCTTCAGGCTGGGCATTTTGACCTTAGCTCTGCTTCTCCCCAAGAAGCAGCTCCTGCAGAATTGCATTCCATCAGCATTTGCTTCCACATGTGTCTGTGACAGTTCTGTTTTGCTGGGCTTATGTTGGTTATGGATATGGCTCCATGTTCATTTCTGACCAAGTTCCTCCTTTTGTTTCTACTCATGAAAGATAGCATAAATATTGCATGTTGTATTTGATGTTTCAAAGGAGTTCTTTACAAAAGCCCGATACTTTACCTATTGTATTGTTTTGGACCAAAGTCCTAAAATTACCAAATTATTCAGCATTCTTATTAAATACCTAATGTTTAATTCTGTCATATTTCCTGTGCTCTTTTACTCATCTCTCTACCTTCGATTCTTCTTTTTCTTGTCTCACTGTTGCCTGCCTTCAGACTGACTCGTAGTGGTGTGTACTGAGTGGCCACCCTCTGTGATTCTCATCTGTGCTTCAGTTTGTCCTGTCTGAATGTGTCTCCTCAGATGGCTCCTCCATAAGTATTTAGTATCACTAGCAGTGATATTAAATCAGCTTCAGTCTGAAAACTGCTATAATAACCTAAGTTAATAATGAGGTACGCTTGTTGGTTTTGAACTTCCCCATTGTCTCCTTTAACTGCAAGAAGATGGGATGAAGCAA